AATAATAATAATGTAAAGAAAAAACTGGTATGTTTAACTACGCTGATGTAATCTGACAATCCACCACTAGAGGGCAGACTAGTCTAAAACAACGAGTTGAGTTCTTCTTGAACACTCTGAAGGATTTTTTAAAAATGATTTTAGAACAATGAAGTAATTGTGCACATCGTAATGCCAAAGTGTGGCTTTAAGCCTGATATTCTGAGCTAATTAYACGTCTAAAGGTGGTTTCCTCCCATTAGGAACATATGACTCAACAAGCCTGGAGTCAGCAGCTGGAACCACGTCAGCATCCAGTTCACAGAAATGAAGCTCGACCAGCTGTTACCGAACATCTGCACACGAAACTGTTGGTCTGAGACCTGGGAATCGGCCAAATTTAAAAAAAAACATGCAAGGAAAGACTTTGCTCAACGTTAAAGGGAAAGCGTCCCTTTAAGACGGCCTTGTACCTGCTGCTGCTTTAAGCAGCAACAAGACTGGTTCGGCCCGGTTTGATCCAGCTGCAACGGTGCAGTGCGGTCTCGTGCAAAAAGGGATGCAATAATGGTTCCTATTGATCATGCAAATGTTCTTCATACAGACATTTCTTATAAGGGAAAAATAATTGACTAAATAAAGGAGCATTTAATAGAAACTCCCTCGATAAATCTTGTTGAAAATTATTATTTAAAATTCTTATGCAGACTATATAAATATAAACATGTGCAAAAGAAAAAGTGTAGTGTTCAGGCAACATAGAAAAGGATTTCCACATGTTGTGGCATATTCTTAGTTTTACATCCACAGTTTTTGTCCATTTGAGATGCAGAATTTGTCTCGTGCCTCTTTCCCTCTGTTGTAAATGATTTCATGCGAGAGTTGCTCACATCTCGCGAGATTTAGACTAACGAATAAAAGGGAGTCAAAATTAGCTATCAGGATGATTTGTGTTTTTTTTTTTTTTCAGTTATAATTGCTGTGTAACTTTAAATTTGATTTAATCACTTAAAGGTCGATTAACATGTAGCACTTGTGTTGTATCACTGTATTAGTTTATTAATGTTTCTGCATGTTAGGGTTGGTTGTTTTATTTTTGAAAGGTTTATTGACCCAAACACACACACACACACACACACACACACACACACACACACACATGTGCAACTTAAACAGGACATCTAGAGCATCACAAATTTTTCAACATTTACATTTTAGTACAACATCATAGTCGATATGTTGTTTAGAAAAA